CACACACACACACACACACATGCACACGCCCGGATGCACGGACACACAAGCAAGCGCACATCCACACGGGGACACACATATTTACCGATGCATGCGACTCGCTGCCCACTTCGCACGCCCTTTACTCTGGCCCGTGGGGTCCCCGACAATGAGCAGCTCATCCTCGAGTACAGCCAACAGGACTCGTATCACTCGGTGGTCTTGCTCCGGTCGGAGGCCGAGGCGCCACGGTCGGCTGGTACTCCTGTGGCCCATTCGCGATTGGGCCTCTTTCAGGATGCCTCTGGGAGTTCGTCTTCCCTTTCGGCGGCTGTGGCCCTGCCGGAGGGTCACAATCCAGCCAGCGACCCCATCTTCTTTGCTGGCAAGCTGGCCATCAAGCCGGGGATTATTTTTAGGTGTGTCACCTGCTTGACCTGTTCACCTCTCTCAGGGCAGCCTCTCCACACCCTCGCCCTAGGATGCATGGGCCGGGCTTCTTCCTTTTTTTCCCCTCTTCTCCCGACCTTCCCTCCTTACACTCACACACTCACGCGCACACACACACACACACACATACACGCACACGCACGCACACATAACCACCTCCAGTCTCCACCCTTCGGAGTCCCAGCAGGTCATCGCCACTACGATCGACAATTCGTGGAACCTGCTGAACATCATCGACACCAATGAGCTTAGCCAGCCAGCCTTTTCCTTCTCTGTGCGTGTGCACCTGGCGATGTGGCCCTGCTTCTTCCCCCCCCCCCCCTCCCCTCTCCTCTGCTCCCTCCGCCGCAGCCCCACTCATGGCCCTTTTTCTTGTGCACACGCCTGGTTCCATCGTGAAGATTCCCCGCGCCGCGTCGCACCTGGCCATCACGGACTGCCTGGCCTTTGTGGCTGGGGCGCCGCCCCTGTCGTCCGGCTCCAGCCAAAGCCCCACTCAGTCGGTGTCGGTTATCTCGCGGCACATTTCCATGTGCCAGTTTGATTACCCGAATGCCAGGTCTCCGCCGACCGCCGGCGACGCCACGGAATCCCTGATTCAGCGCTTCCTCCTTGCCCCGTCCGAGCGCCTGCTGGCTTTGATCCCGGCCCCCGGCCTGCCGATGTGCGTGGCTTCCTGCTCTGCCTTTGGTTTCCCCCCCCCCCCCCCCCCTCCCCTCCTCTCGGCACTCACCTTCACCGCGCTCTTGTCTGCCATGTCAGGAATGCCTTGGCCGCTTCTGGTCTCCCCCCTCCGGGGCGGCCACCTTCGCGGCTGCCGGCCACCGCGTCGCACCTGACCCGGCTGATGAATTACCCGGGGTTTGTCCGGTCACACGATGTGCTCCTGCCGCTGGAGGCCTTCTCGGGGAATGCCAGCCCGGCCGGTGCCCCGGCCACCGGCCACCCCGGCACGCCGCCCTTCGACGTGCTGGCCATCGATGACCCGGCGGAAACCGAGCGCCTGGCTCGCGAGCTCTCCGGCTGCTATGTCATCACCAGCAAGTGTGTCTACTGGATTCGGCCGTTCACCATTTCCCCGACATTGCTCTTCACCAGGCACTTGATTCCGGCCGCCGCTCCGCTCAAGAGCATGGTGCTCGAGGAGCTGTCCCCCGGGCCGGGTGATGAGGTTGACTTCTTCGAGCACGCCTTCCCCGTCATCGAGTCTGTCGGCCAGACGCTCAAGCTCAACCTGCTGCACTTGAACTCCCAGGCGGCCGATGTGGTATGTCCATCCTCGCTGTGCATCGCCCGGCCTTTGCCCCCGTCTCGGGCCTCGCTAATGTGTGTGTCTGTGTGCCCTCTTGCTCCGTCCCCATGCCGCCCC